CTAATCATAATTATACTTGGTCGCAAACTTCATTTAAGCTTGGGTATTTTTAGCTTTGATGGGGTAATTTGGCTCCGACAGCTGTAAGTTCTATCTTTTAACTTTATGGCCAACGGCATAAAATTTTGATCCAAACAAGGCAAAATGAGTAAGTCTAAGAATTAAATAGGTTTTTTTAATTAAAAGAAGCCGTTTATTAGGCCCTACTCAAAGTTATGAAATTATTTTATCTCCAGTTTCCGCAACTTCTTGAGCTAAGACCATATTTTAACACTTATGTCGCATGCAAATAAAATCATTGGAGATGGGATACATCACCAGAAAATCCTGAACTTAAAATTACAGTTGAAAGTTCTGTTGATCAACAGTATTAACAAGGAGAATATTCGAATGATTGCGTTTAAGAGAAGAGATTTCCAAGTATCACTCTAACTGCTCTATTACCAGTCATGCTGCTCGCACCGTAAAGGCACCCAGTCACATTAAATTTGTGTATAGATGTGATTACTGTGAAAGTGGAGAGACAGCAAAAGGCCAGAAGAGGCATAAGAGGACAGAATAATAGGAATCTTGACCAGCACAAACAGTCACCCTAAAAATTGCATAAAAGTGGTGGTACTTAGCGGCATGTTCCCTGGGTAATCACATCTGCCACTGGTTAAATTCGCACACCAGCGGACGGATTCAAACCACCCCCATAACAAAGGAGGACAAAAATGGCAAATTAACACGGCATTGAATTGTCTTCCAAATAGCACTTAGCTTTAAAAGGTTAAATCTATTAGTACCAGAAGTAGTCAGTCGTAATCCATAAAGTAAGTTAGATGTCTCAATACAGTACCCTCACAGAGTCATTGGACGTAAAGAATTTACTCAAATGCCATTTCTCCTTTATTTGTTAGTTGATAAGATTCTCATTTGTTAGTTTTAGCTTTCTGACTAAATGAAGCACTCTATCGGTGTTGATTAGTGAAAAAATTAAAAAGCCACCCTAGCAGCAGTTGGCTTGGGAGATGGGAAGTATTTTGGAAAACGCCTAAATAAGAATCCAATTCTACCTTTAAACATTACGCAATGTAAACTAAGAACGTGTATGGATAGAACAAACCCGTTTTGATAAAACCTTGGTAAGTGTAGGGAATCTGCCACATGGAAGACATGCCTGCACCAAAAATGTTTTGCATAACCGCATTTGGCTCGATTTCTATTTTTGGGCAATCTGTCCAAATATTTATTTCGGTCAGTTCCTTAATATATAAAATGATTATTTCAAGTAATATTATTTCTCATGAATGCTTGAATGCATAGGTGGATGAATGGGTGGATGGATGGATGGACGAAGTAATGGAGTGATGAACGAATAGGGTGATAAATGGATAAGTGCGTACGGTATGGTAGGAGTGGCGCATAAAATGGAAAATATCAGTGAATGCTTCTG